TTAACATATTCCTCGTTTCATGTTTTATTATTTATTATTTCTGCGAATGTGAGATAACGTATTCAAAATATTGATATGTTATATAACATATTATAAAAAAAAAAAGAAAACGTGTGCATGTATTTAAAGAAAATGGTTTATCTAATATTATTTTAATGTTTCACAGATCTCTCCTTAGAAAATAAAAAAACGCAACAAGTGTGCGCAATGCTTTTGTGTTCCTGATAAATATTTTGCTAATATTAAAAAAGAAATTATATTAGCATAATATAAGCACATTTACGTCTATAAGAATATTATATTTCAAAGAACGTAATAAATAAAATAGTCAGATATAAACTTGATTATGAGATCTATTTTTCTCATCGATATTATTTTTTGCAAGAAATAGTGTATGTGCAATAATAATGTATTGCATATAAGAAGAAAAAAGATGTATTATTATGTCGTTAAAAATGTACCGCAAATATAAAGGAGATGAAAATTTGTTCTTAAAGATTAGAATAAGAAGATATTATATTTCTAAAAGAATAATGAATAAAACAATCAGTTAGGTATAAACCTGATTCTAAAATCTAAGTTTCTTTATTGATATTATCTTTTGCAGGAAATAGTAAATAATACGTAATAACATAAAATGAAGTATTGCGTGCAAGAAGAAAAAAGATCCATTATTATACCGTCAATATGTGCCATAAAAGTAACGGAGATGAAAACTTGTTCTTAACAAATGAGATTATTCACACAATACATGATTTTCACAATGAGAGTTATTTATTTATAGTATTACGCAATGTCTAACGTTCACATCTTAAGATGTGGATTATATCATCAAAGTGAGTTGCAAAAATCGACAAGTATAAATACGAGTTTTAGATTTCTTTTTACAGTCCACAGAGATGTTTTCTTGATATATATGTATAACTACTTTAAAAATTGTAATCGTAAAATTTGAATAGTACAATTTTATTTGTGGTCGTCGTATTAAAAAATTTATATAATCGATATTTATAAGGTAAAATTTGATAAAATTTATTTTATTGCAAATTCTAATCACGCATACAATCATTGATAATATAACTACCTAACAGCACCAAATCCAAAATTAGTGCATAAGATAAAGTGTTATGTGGTTTTTTGTTTTAATTCAATTTGTTTGCGTATAATATTAATTATAATAAAAGATTGGATTTTTTAAAAGATTAATTTTACAGTGTGTTCGAAAGGCCAAATTTATACACCGTTTTAATAACATCAAGTAGGTAAAAAAAGTTCATATTAACTTATGTCCGAAAATACTTTATTAAAGAGTTACGAATGCTCAAAGGTTGAAAGACTTACAAATAAAATTGTTTTATAACTTGTTAGACAAAATCGTTGATTTTGATATAAATAATCCTCAAAATATTTATACATCTTGACTTATACTACGATCTTTAGACTCTTATCATGTATTTTTGTTTCTGTTAGACTTTTTTATATAACGGCTTAATTTAGATCGTAGAAACTTTTGATACGGATATCAAGCTGATCCGAATTACGCGTTAGATACGTGTGAATTCTTGTTTACATGAATCGTATTAAGTTACATTAAGTTAGACTTTTAAATACAAACAAAGTACACTGAATGCTGTGGTTGTGATGACATGTTTTTTTTAAGGAACATACGTATATCAGCGTTTACAGCGCGTTGAAAATATTTAATATGCGTATTAGTTGGGTCTCATACTCGCTACTTTCGAGTATCGTACCATTCTGATGCGCCAGAATTTATAGCGTTAATACCAAACAATTTAATAGAAGTATAGTACTTAATACGCATATCAAGTGTTCAGTGTAAACTAGGCCAATATCATAACTTTAGTGTTTGAGGATTTAATATCCTCTAATTCTTTAATAAATTATTTTTAGACATAAGTTTATGAATTTTTTTTCAACTCCACTAATACATATAAACTTGGTTTTTTTACGGATAATTAATTTAAAAAATACGTAGATTTAAATGTTAATTACATAGTTCATAAAATTATATTTTTTTCTATATAAAATTTAACCAATAACCAGTTTAAAACTAATATAAACTGTAATTAAAATTGAATATATTGTCAAACTATTCAAATAAAGTTTGAAATAAAAAACATTCGAGTCTCAAATTTAATCAATACAATTTGAGTGAAATTTAATCTATATCACACGTGTGCACGCGTTATCTTTTAAACTATTGATAATTGTATAATTACGCATCAATATTTATAGTATAGATAATTAATTATGATTTATAATAAATATAAATATAAATATAATTGTATTTTATATAATTAAGATTTTACAACTCAAAGATTTTACTAATTAATTGCCATAAACATCATGTTGCAAGAACGAGTTTAGTATTAAATTGACCATGAGTTATCAAAGAAAGTGACTAAATAATTTTATAATAAAAATTAAATTGTATCAGTTTATATATTGCATATATTCAATCTACATTTCAATCTATAGCATTGTATATAAGATTAGTGGCTTTAATATGTTTCATGCTGATTACCTTTTTATTATCTATTATTTTATAATCATTATAATAATATATTGTCTATTATTTTATAATCATTTTATTTGTAAAGGTTTGCAAACTTAGATTAGATAAAAAAATGTAAAAAATAATTATTTTTATTTACCACGAATAATTACTTGCTAGTATAGTAGAACACTTAAACAACTTCGATTTATTCGTATTATATTTGTACATTATATATATATATATATATATATATATATATATATATATATATATATGTTTCAGAGTCATATCTGGCTAAAACATTTATGCATCTTAAAACCTATGAAGTTAATGAAGATATAAATTTTTGACCAAATCCAGATGTATTTAATCTAGATGAATTTTTATCTGAACAAATCAAAATTCGCCATTCTTATTCCTATTTATTGTTCAACACAGGATCACGAAATTGTATACTTACTTATACAATTTTATTTTTTCTTGTGTGAAATAAATTTTTGATACACAAAAAAATGACTTTAAAGTAAACAACTAAAAATAAGAAAGCGATCCAATAAGAGTCAAAGCATTGTATTTAATGCATAAATAAATAATATATGATAAAATATATACATTGTATAAATTGATATTATATAAATAGAAAAATTATTTACATTTAGGCTACAATGTATAATATTTTTAGAGAATCTAAAATTAGTTATGTACTACATCAAATAAATAAAACTACATGTTATTATTAGTATAAATTTTTGTCATAATTTGATGTAATTTAATGCATAGTATTTTTATTAATATATTTTAAATAATAAGCTAACAAAATAGACTTTTGAAGATAAAAACTTTAATAGCATCTTTAGAATGTACAACTTATCTTGGATCTCTTGATTATTAAAATAATCTTTCAATAAGAGCTGATTTAATGTTTTATTTTATTCGATTATATTTGTACGCTGTTAAGCGTACAAATATTTAAAACAAAGACTAATTTTGAAAGTGTAAAATGTATATAAATTTTAAATATTTAAATATTATTATGAATATTACATATTCAATATTATCAATAAAAAAAAATATATATATATATTTTCTACAAAATATTTTATCTAATAATATAAGCCAGATACGTACGTAAGAATTTAATAGAAGATATTTTTTATTTTCTTTATTTTATTATTTCGTCGTAATCACGTGTAGAAATATATTTAACCGACTACAGTACACTTTGTATCCAATATAATTAATAATGACGAATCAATAAGATAATTCATGAACTTTAACATTCATATTTCTTTTATATTCTTTTATATTTCTTCTTATCTAACTAAATAAGGAAGTTCTTATCTAAATACATAAGAAAGTTCTTATTAAAATAAAAATGCTAAAAATTTTCTTATCTCTAATAACATTCAAATAAGTAAGTTATATTAAGAAAATATTACATTCAGCATTTTTATTAGCAGTGATAGTGAGGTTAAATATTTAAAAATTAATGATATACCGAATAACATAAGCAGTAAGACAAAGCAATAAATTAATACTTGCTTACTGCTTACGCATAATAAAGAATTGATAACTAAAATTGATTAATTTGCTTACTTAGAACTATTTTTGTAAAATATAGTATTTTATATCAGTTTGATAAGAAGTACAAAAGACAACGTTCATACGTTATCATATATATTAATTGGAATATTCATATTCCATTCGCAGTCTTGAAACTGCAGTTATCGGAGCCACTTATACAATACGCTTTAAGAAATTATATATATAAAAGATTCATAAAAATACAAAAAATATTGAAGTGTATTGAAAAGTATATTGAAGTGTATTGAAGTGTATTGAAGTGTATTAAAGTATACAATAATTTTTAAAAATATAATTTAACAATTATTACTTTAATATAGTGTGTAGAAATTTTACATATAATATATTAAAATATATTGTAAAAAAATATTATAAAATTTTTCTGACAATGAGAGTTATAATTAACAATTATGGCAATTATGACAATTACAACAATTATGTTCAAGCATAGATTAAGTAAAATTTTATGAAAAATGTGTTTTTTATTATTTTTGTCAATTCTTTTAAGAGGAACATAAATTTTATTAAATTGTAGGATAATTATTTCAATAATTTCTTTAAAAGAGTTGCATGTTTTTTTTAAATGTTATATACATAAAATATAACGTATTTTTTACTAGACATAAATTAAATCTAATATATTTTGATAAAGTAATCATATTTTTATTTTTTGCTGTATACGTACATATGTTTAATAAATACAAATATATATAATATACATATATATAATTAAATATATATGTCTATATACAGTAAAAATATATAATATTAATATATAAAATATATACAAGATATTTCATTTTAATCGAATGATTGTATCATTTAAAATGTATTTAAAATTTTTTTATTGTTGATGTAATAATATATTTCCGAAGTAATAATTTATTTCTCATTACAGCATATTATATTACATAATTTGTGATATTGAAAAATTAGAAAAAAGAAACAAAAATTGGAAAGAATATTGCATTAGTTAATTAATAATGGTCTTTACCTTAATAATCTTTATCTTACTATTATCATGCATTCTTATGTATTTATATCATTATAATGTTCGTTATGGAAAATACGGGCAAATTATTGATCGTATTCCCGGTCCTCCGACTGTTCCTATTTTCGGCAATATATTTATGTTTTCTAATTTAACACTAGGTAAGTGAAACTTAACAAAATTTTGTATAAATCTTTATGTAATATAATTTAGTTTTATATTTATGAAAAATGTGTATCTTGAAAATTATTACTTATTTAATACTAATTATTATTATTACTTATTTAAGTATTGAGATAATATTATATAAAATATAAAGATGATTAAAATGTGAAGATTTTGACGATATTTTTTGACAAATTTATTTAAATAATCTAAAAAATGTATCTATTTAACAAGTTAATTTTGACAATGCGCGAATAGTAAAGCAGACGAAGAATGTTTTGAAACTTAATTATTATTACACACAAAAACAATTTGTGATAAATTGTTTCAAAGCTTCTAAAATTTGTATTATAATATAACAAATGAAGACAATTTTTGTACTTGTACATTTTTTAATTATATTTGATATTTTAGAAGGAGTATGGCAGTTGCAATGCACACTGTCAAAAAATTTTTCTCCAATTTTTAAAATATGGAGTATTACTTCTGCTTACGTTGCTATTTTCTGTCCAGATGATGTACAGGTAGAAAAAAATGTTAATAAATAAGTTTATCTTATTTATCACATAAAAAATTGTTACATTTTTATCTATACTAAAAACTGAGAGAGATGGTTTAAAGACATGGTTTATATTTACAATTATACGTACATGATACATATGCTTATCGCAATTTTTCGAACAATTCATGGTGCTTGATCATACTTTACTTTATAATGCATTTGTTACCAATTTGCGCATATATATATATATATATATATATATACTACGTTGTACTTTTTTCAATTTTATTATTTATTTAATTTCATCTATAATTTTAGGTAATACTTAACAGCACAAATCATCTTGAGAAAGGCTTTATATATAAGCTTATCCATTCCTGGTTGCGAACTGGTTTACTCACTAGTACAGGTATCACAATAAACTTAAAATTTTAATATGCATTTACTTTAATATGTATGATGTTTAAAGATTGTGTTTTTTGTTCTTTAGTATGCGTATAGTTTGTATATGAATATATATTTTTAATGTACAAAAACACTATATATAGGTTGAAAAGTGAAAATATATAATCTTTTTTTATTATTACTCTATATATTATTCTATATATTAGTCCATACATATATCAATATAAAAAATATATAGTTTTTAAAAAAAAGATTTCTTAATCAGTATTTAATTACTATTTTATATATTATTTCTTGAAATATTGAATTAATATTATAACAATACAAAGTAATAAAATAATACAAAGAAATGCAAATATAATGCAAATATCGCCGCAAAAATATTATAGGAGCAAAATGGCAAGGAAGACGAAAAATATTAACGCCTGCATTTCATTTTAATATATTGAAACAATTTGTTGATATTTTCATTGAGGAAGGCAATCGTATGACTAAATTTTTAAATGATATGGATGGATCGATTGTCAAGGACTTAGTGTCTTTCATTAGTGAACATACATTGAATGCAATATGCGGTAAATGTTCATTTTATCTGTTTATATATATATATATATATAGTACACATATAGATGTGTGTATGTATATAAAGAAAAATTTATTTTAGTATTTTAATCTTCATTATATTATACTTAGAACACACACACAATTATTATTAATTATATTTATTTCTTATAAACTCGTGTAGATTTGTTGTTATTACATTTATTATTCTTTTTATTTTTATTATTTTCGAAAAAAAACTAAATAATTTTCAATTTTTAAAAATTGTTCTGCGTTATACAGTAGTACTAAATTATTATATAATTAAAATAATATAAATTAATTTAATAAATATAAATATAATATTAAAGAATTAAATATATAGAAACTTCCATGGGCGTTCCTCTAAAAAATATGAACCACTATGGAGAACAATATCGCCATGCAGTTCATGAGATGGGTGAAATATTGGTTTATAGGTAATTGATATGTATGTATACAATAATACATACATACATACATATATATTATAAAGCTATGGTTATTTGAATATTAGAAGGAAACATTAAAATTGTTATGGTATTAAAAAAATTATACATGCAAGTTACATAGTTACATTAAACTTTGATTCCTCAAAATAATACTTATTTATTTAAACATGTACATTGTATAATTACATAGGTTAATAAGACCGTGGTATTATTCTGATGTAACATTTGCGCTAACATCAGAGAGTAGAAAGCAAGCTAAGAATTTGAAAATACTTCATGGATTCACTGAAACAGTAAGTAGAAATTATTATTAATAATTATAAGAACTGTTAAATAAAATTAATATATTAAATGTAATTTACAAGTATAATGTGTAATGTTGACAGCATGTTTATAGTAGAAAAATGTACTTAAATAAAAAAAAATTATATCTTTTTTTTATAGATTATTGCGGAAAGAAAACGATATCATGAACTCACCGATGGACGATATTTACAAAATTTTGAAATTGATGCGTTAAAAGAAACAAATGATAATGAAATGATAAATTGTATGTGTGTGTGTGTGTATATGTACAATATGATATATGTGTGTGTAATGTGTAAAACATATATTTTTATATTATCAAATTAATATGATTAGCTATTTTATTTATTTAAGATAAAAAAAAACGTCTCGCTATGTTGGATCTTCTGATAGCGGCGTCGCGTGACAACAAAATAAATGATTTAGACATAAGAGAAGAAATTGATACTTTTATGTTTGAAGTAAGTACATTTACTTAGATTAAGTATTATTCATATATTTCAAAATTTAAATTATATTAATTTGTAGCTAAAAAATATTGGTACAAAAAATTCTCTCTCTCTCTCTCTCTCTCTCTCTCTCTCTCTCTCTCTCTCTTGTTTTTTTTTTGCTTCTTTTATGAGAGAATGTCATTTAATATTTCTAAACTGTTATTATTTTTTAAAACGTTTTAATATACATGTATCATTGACAGCAATTAATATCGTAAACAAGTTATTTTAAATGCAATATATCTGTTTTTATTACTATTTCATAAATTAATCAATTTATTTTAATTATCAAAATATATAACATTTTTATTGAAAATAGACGTTTACATAATTGGTATTAATATTGACAATTCTAAAATATGTAAGACAAACATTTAGAGAAAAACAACCGTTTGGAAAATATTTTTAATTCTACTTTTTATAATTATTATGTTAAATACTTGCTGTCTTACGTTGCTTGCGCATATACGAAAAGGGAATAAGATAAATTCTTTTCATTACAGGGTCATGATACAGTAGCAATGGCTATATGTTTTTCTATATTACTGTTAGCTGAGCACAAGGATATCCAGGTTATTTATCAAATCATATAAAACATATATAATTAAATCTATTAATCTTGCTATTTTATTTGTTTTATCAATTACTTATTACTTTTTAGAACAAATAATTGTAAACTTCAATTTAAAGATATATGAAAAACATATTTTTTAATTTTTATTTCCACAATTACATACATAAAATACATAAATAAATAAAAAATAAATAAAAAAAAAATATATATATATATATAGGTATAATATTGTATATATATATTTATTATATTTTATTATTACATGTAAATTTTATGTACTACATATGTATGTACATATATAGCATGCTTTGATTTAATTAATAATCAGAGAAATGCAGTTTACGTAAACAGTGCAAAAATATGTTTATTGATATATAGGAACTTGCCAGAAATGAAGTTAGCGCAGTAATGCAAGAAAATGAAGGAAAACTTACTATAACAGCATTACAAAATCTACCATATTTAGAAAGATGTTTAAAAGAAGCCATGAGATTGTATCCCAGCGTCCCTTTAATAAGTCGAATATTGTCGGAAGACGTAAAGTTACGTAAGTAGAATAAATTATATATATTCCATGTATACTTTTTAAATATAGAACTGCAAAAACAATATTATATATGTAGAATATAAACTTTATTGACGGTTTAATATTAAATTAGAATCAATTATTTTTACGAACAACTTTTACTTTTATTTTCTGTCTCTCTCTCTCTCTCTCTCTCTCTCTCTCTCTCTCATATACTATATATAAAATTTTTGGTTTTATATTTTTCTAATATTGATACATGTTAAATATAAATGTTGTTAAAATCAAAATGTAATATTTCTGTAATTAATATTTTTAATTAACATGTAATATGTAAACTCAGTTATTAATTCAGTTTTAATATGAAAAATCTATTATATAATTACAAAATAATTATTATGTATATTTAAAAATTATATTATGCTTTATATCTTTTTTTTTTTAAGAATCTTATATAATACCATCTACAACAGAAATATTCATCAACATTTATGAGCTTCATAGAAATCCCAATTACTGGTCACATCCAGAGAAATTTGATCCAGATAGATTTTTACCGGAAAATAGTCACAATCGTCATCCTTATTCTTACGTACCCTTCAGCGCAGGGCCACGAAATTGTATAGGTAATTTATAAAATATTTTTGCCACAGACATATAAACAAATTCTAATGCACGTATAAACAATATAGGTCAACGATTTGCCATGTTGGAATTGAAGGCTATGGTAGCTCCGTTATTGCATAATTTTTATTTGGAGCCTGTTGATTATTTGAAAGATCTTCGTCATACAGCACATATAATAAAACGCGTTGTTGAACCGATCCGTGTAAGATTTGTTCCAATCAAACGCATGTAAACATCTGAAATAATTTAGTTTGGTAAGAGAAAATTGTTTAGTCAAGAAGTTTATAAATAAAAATTTATTGTATCAAACTTCTTGTAATATTATAGAAATATAATATTTTTGGAACTACACATTGTGAAGATATTAAATATACATTTTACGTTAAATACAATATTACATTTTATTGTAGAAAAGTTTTCAAAAATCTTTTCAAATTTTTTTATCAAATTTTATTTAAGAATATCTTAAATTACGAAAATAATAATTTTTCAATGAATGATTTCAATATACAACCATATATGTATTATACATGTATATGCATTTATTTTATTTGATTATTTAAATAATTATTAATAACATAAATCATTTTTTAATTTCTTTAAAAAGAAATGTCTGTTAAAAAAATTATGATCAATACAGAAAAAAGATTATCTTGAATAAATATAGAATTTAATATAAAATTTTCTTAACTGAAAAATTTGTACTTTAATATACTTTTCTTATTCTCATTAAGTGTTGTATAATTAAATGTTAGAATAAGTTTTATCGCGATATATAATCGTGGCACTCGCAAGAAAATTTCTGTGTGCATGTCGCATCTCCCTTCATCTATTGTTATCTCGTAACAACCGTTTATTACGGATCACGGATCGAATGAGCGGCAGTTCAGAGAACATTATGACATTTTAATTTATCGTTTGCGTTGGAGGGCGTGCAATCTGCGACGAGTCACCGGTCGGCACGGAAACGCCAAATCGGTTTGAAATTACGCAATAAATTCAGGTCGTGCAGGTCGATGAGATGACACAACTTCGGGAACGAAGAGGATAGGAGTAATCGTTAAATATTTCGCAAGAGTCCTTGCGACTGATTTATAGACGATGATACGTGCGTGACTTACCTAGATTTTTCACACGCGTGATCCAGCTGGCTCTGCCGTCCGTCTGTTATTCTCCTTTCGCACGAATAATCCATTTTTGCGATAAGCGAAATAAGAGATGCGATACATACGTACTCGCGGGCGAGTTTTCTGAACGTATGGACGTTTTGTGCGAAAAGAAGAGAAGGAGGACAGCGAGAAGGGAAAACGACAGATGTGGGGGATGAAAAGGAAGATGTGCATATCGGCGTGAGACACGGCTAAGAGGAATTCCAAAGTTCCTGCACGGAAATTACAGATGCAGCGTGTTACACGCTTGAATGCAAGTGTCTAGCGAAGGGTACTCGAAAAGCGTAAGAGAGTGTACAGGAGATTGAGTAGAAAAGACTGGTTTTTCGAAGCAAATTATCGTTAGCAGGATGAGTATTAGTATCCGAGTGATTACAAGGCACACAATTTGATCATAGCTTTGATTTTTCCTAATTATAATAGTAAGAAATTATTTACTATAGATAAAGTTAAAGAGGTTTTCAGCACGTCTAACTTAATTCATGTTCTATTTTTTATATCTTGTATGATAACGAGAGAAAAAAAATTAATCGTACATGCTAGATAGCAACAAATAGCAAGTTTACAAAAAATTATTATAGCTGAATGTATTAATTTTTCTTTTTATTTCATATATGACTCATAAATTGTTTGCAAAACTAAGACATTTTGTTCGAAATAAATTTTTGCTTTTGTGTCAAATTGTGATTATAAATATTTAATTGAAAAAATACATAATTTTGTATTTGATTGATTTATTTAATTTTCTAGATTTGATTGATCAAACTTTTATTTTAAATAAAAGAAACTAAGTGTAGATTGCCAGGTGTTGCCTCCATTGATTAGAGGGAGTAATGAAAACTTTTAGAAGAGCTAATGATGCTTGTCTTAATCGCAAGTGTAACAAAAATAAAACGTAGAGCAATATAAAGTTCAACGTAAGTAATATAAGTGACTATCCCCCTCATGCGCAACAACTTTTCTACTTTCGCAGCATTCTCAAATGGGTCGGAAAAGGCATTAGGGGCCAAATTAGTCGAAAAATTTAGATTTCGGAGTGTGCGGGCGACGCGGCAAGAATTGTCGCACATATCGATTATCGGTCGGCCGTATCCAGATGTGTGTCGAAACTTTTTTCCTCGCGTCAGCCCGTAAATTCTCAAGTTGAACTTTTCCACCCCTTTTCCGGGCCGACTGGTTGCGCAAACTTGCAAGTCGGGGCGACATCATTTCGCTCGCGTGCAGCAAGCTACGAGGATCGTGCACTCTTGTGATATTGCGAGATGTATTACCCATTTTTTCAGTTCTCCGTGTCGAGTGGTAATGTATGTTCGACTTTTAAGTGACTTATTACGAAATATATATTTTTCACTGTCTCCTTTTCTTTAATTATATAGATATATATGTAATAAAGTTGGAACAAACGGACGTGCTGCACTTTTGTGTCTTTAACAAAGTAAAGATAAAAACATACTGATTATCAGCTTTTTTTACACAAAGATATTAACGAGATGACTTTGATGTTAATTAAAAGCGTTCTTTTGAGAAAAAATAATATTTTTCTCATATTCTTTATTTTTAAATGAGAAAGGCAGTTACGCTGATTTTTATTTCAGTTTTTCTCGGCTTTTATATTGCGATAAATTATTACTTTCAAGATATTCTTTCTCATTAGTGTGACGAAATTCGCGTGAGTGATTAAAAGTAAGTTGAAGGGTTTACGAAATTTCGCAGAGTTGCGATTTTCCTTGCAATCTTGCGCCGGTATCTCATATCTTCTAAATCGATGCTGCACATACATATAAGCCGTGTCTTGTCGACAACGTCGTCCTTGTCGTCCCCATTTCGGCGCGCGTATTAATCGTGCCTCTGGCTTTTATGCTCATTAAATTACACAGCCGCCGTTGGATACGATGCCGTTAAACCAGCGACATTGCCGGTACATTCACGATCCAGTGGTTTCTCGCCTGCGTCAGGCGAACAAGACGATCGAGAAACCAGATCCAAGTACCTGCCCGAGTTCTCCACTTTCCGAGCCTACATCTCTCGCTGCGCAAACTTTATGCAGACTGCGAGGCTTTCGCAAGCCAAGCCGCAGCACGGTTGCATTGCACATTTACGGTGTTAATAATGTGGATTATGCCTATCGTTATACGTATATTGATACGCGATGAAAGCACGTCACCCGTTGACGAAAAGTTGACGATTAATTCGGTATGTTTAACATCGGGTTATCGCAACTTTTGTAACATGTTTCTTGACTCGACGTTACTTAAAGACAATTTTTATTAATAATATTTTATATTAATAAAATATATCATTGTATCAATGTACTCTCGCAGTTAATTAATATCGTATTTCATATATTTTGAGTTTTATTTCTCATAACTTTTGTTATAAAAATTAATTGATACAAAGTTTCGCTCGTATATTGTAAATACAACTAGCGATAGATAAAAAGGCCAATTTATCGAGCAATTATTAGAGTTGTTTTGTCAAATAAATTTTATTTCATGTATAAACTAAACATAAAACATTATGTGAAAGCTACAAACATTCTATACTCAAACTTAAGCGAAAATTACAATCATTAGGTATAAAATAAACGTTTCAACGGCACGCGGTCTTCCTCAGTATTATAGCGTGCGGTTGAAATTTATTTTATGATTGTAATTTTCGCTTAAGTTTGAGTATAGAATGTTTGTAGCTTTCACATAATGTTTTATGTTTAGTTTATACATGGAATAAAATTTATTTGACAAAACAACTCTAATAATTGCTCGATAAGTTGGCCTTTTTGTTATAAAATTGTGATATAGTTTTATAACATAATTTTATGATATTTTACATTAAATTAAGCAATAATGCTTCTAAAAGATATATATTTATGTGTATCAAGTTTTAATTATACAGAATATTCCGAATACATACAACTGTATTTGACAATTATTTTATAATTTTCTCTTTCTACTCTCTCTTTTTCTAATAAATATAATTTAATTACCTACACATACATATATTACTTGTAAAATACACACACGCAAGTATGATTATTACTATTTATATATATGTATAATAAATTAATTTCTTTTTAAACTAATTTTTCTGTTACAAAAAATTTCTCAATCATTCTATTTACCTCATGTATTTGCATATTTATACGGGATCGTCTTGGTCCCAAGCGTGTACTTCATCTTATATATCGTTTCTCGTGAATCGATATATATGCCGGAACTGTAGTGTTGGAACTCCTGGTTATCACACAATATGTACATTGTAAGCCAGGGTTCTATTGTTACGATCAAATCAGCTTATCGACTTTGCTATCGCTTTATCTCGTTCGAGGAAGAAGTTTAGCGAGAATACCTTTCTGCGGATAGCACTCTCGAAGTGAGGAAAACTTCCGCCGCACGTAGCACGTCATCAAGATGGGCGGTGTATTCAAAGTTTTTGGCACGCCTGATATTGATATATCGAGATACTTTCGATGTGCGTCAGCACGTAGCCGAGGAATCTCTTCTCTTCTCTAGATAACAGGATATTTTAACTCGGATGGCCTCCGTACAATTGATGATTGGATGCGTTATTTTTCCTGTCAAGCAATAAAATATAGTTTTGCAGCAAAATTATTTTATTCTTAAGGTATCTAAAGCAATAACAGTTTGCTAGATATTACATATTGTAATTGAACGATAATTCCAATTATTTTTTAATCTTAAGATAGCGAATTATTTCGTAAGTTGATACAAAATGTTTGTATATTTAATGTGAAATATTTTTTCCTGTCAAGTTATAAAATACAGTTTTGCAGCAAAATTATTTTATTCTTAAGATATCTACAGCAATAACCATTTGCTAGATATCACAGATTGTAATTGGCAATTCCAATTATCTTTCAATCTTAAGATAGCAAATTATTTTGCAAGTTGATACAAAATGTATATTTAATGTATAATATTTTTTCTTTTCGCGAAAGAGATTAAGAATTGATCGGAATCTGTGCTTCAATATTGTTCATAGAAAATTTCGTCGCTCATCTTTTCTGTTGGCCGTACTCGAACGTGAACTTCATACATTCGACTTGAATAGTCGACACTCACTATACAAACTTGTGTGGTCTTTTCAAAGTGATTTGCTGTCTTCTACGATCGGCATTTTCAA